TTCAACTATTGCACTTTCAAGACAAAATATGTTGATAATAAATCAACATGTATGTGTATTTAAAAAATACCATTTAGAATTTTACTCTTTGACAATTTGCTTTTCTTCATAGGACTATACCACAGTTAACTTTCTATAGCAGTTTTTTAGCTCTCTTATTTAATGGGTTTATATTATGCCTTTATATGGCTATGCCATAATTTATTTAAACTGGCTACTTGAGTGTTTTCCTATACTGCTAGTACAAATAGTAGTAGTTTTCTTTTTAATACAGATTTAATGGTCTCTGCTTTTTCAAACTCAAAAGTATTTGCAGTTTAAAGAATACTTATTTTGTAAAAGCGCTGACCATTAGAAGTAAGTTTTAAAGCAAATTAAGTGCTTATACTATTTGCAATCAAATTATTTAGAAGTTCTGATCAATAACCTTAGTAATGGTTAATTTTTTAGACATCTGACTACCCAGTGGTGCTTTCTTTAGAAAATCACTGCTCCCCTGCTCAACAAGAAGTGATGGCAGATAATATGCAGGCAATTTTGGGAGATACTCTGCTTTCTGATATGCTTGATGATTTTCCAGATAAACTACCATCACCAGAGGTAACATTTTGTCTGATAAGCTCAATTTAAGGAAAAAAAAAAAGTTACTGTTATATTGGCCCATAAAATTAGTGAGAGATAAATGAAAATGCCTAGTTTTCATTATTTATGAAAATATATGTTGCAATGTGTCTCTGGGTAGTACAAATGGCTAATGTACTTGGCTGCTAACTGTTGAATATTGGAAGCTTGAGTCCACCCATAGTCACTTCTAAGAAAGTCCTGGTGATCTACTGCCAAAAAGTCAGCCATTGGAATCCCTATGGAGCACAATTCTTCTCTGACACGCATGGGGTCATCATGATTTGAAATCAGTTTTACAACAACAGATTTTTATTTTTATTTGCTAAAAAACTATATAGAGATATATGCAAAACCCTACATTTTTATTGTGCATCATACCATTTGGGTCCAAAGTTTCAAGTCAATTAATATTAGGAATTTAGCCTAATGTTTCATAAACATTATGTTTCATACACAAAAGGGTAAGATAAAGGCCAAAGATCTATGCTGTAAAAGGACTATGTGATGTGACATGACGTGCTGTGCTGTCGAGTTGGACCTGACTCATAGCGACCCCTCCTTGGGTTACCAAGCGATATCACTATGGAAGTAGATTGCCCAACCTTCCTTCCAAGGAGTGCCTTAGGCACTAGGCTACCAGAGCTCCTAAACTAATTCCCTATCATCTGAGTAAATGATTCTCTTTCTGCCTTGTGCCTTTTTCACAGTTCCCCTGTTTCTGCTGGTCTCTTTCTCTCTTTCTTCATTTGAGTATATTCAAGTATTTGATTTAAAAAATATCTGATGTATTTTCAAGTATCTGTTGAAGATCAAAGACTACAGCTTTAAGTATGGATTATACCTCAAAATAAAGAAAACAAAATCCTTACAACTGGACCAAAAAGCAACATCATGATAAATAGAGAAAAAGTGAAGTTGTTAGAGATGTCATCTTACTTGGATTCACAATCAATGCCCATGGAAGCAGCAGTCAAGAAATCAGATGATGTATTGCACTGGGAAAATCTGCTGCAAAAGACCACTTTAAAGTGTTAAAGAGCAAAGATGTCACTTTGAAGGCTAAGGTGTGCCTGATCCAAGTCATGGTATTTTCAGCCTTCTCATACGCATATGAAAGCTGAACAATGAATAAGGAAGACCAAAAAAGAATTGATGCAATTTAATTTTGGTGTTGGTAAAGAATACTGAAAATACCATGGATTACCAGAAGAATAAACAAAACTGTCTTGGAGAAAGTGCAACTGGAATGCTCTGAAAAGCATGAATGACCAGAGTTAGTCTCTCCTACTTTGGTCATGTTGTCAGAAGGGACCATTCCCTGGAGAAGGATATCATTCTTGGTAAAGTAGACCGTCAGTAAAAAAATAGGAAGAGCCTCAATGAGATAAATTAACATAGTGGCTGTGATGATGGGCTCCAGCATAGCAAATATTGTGAGGTTGGCGCAGGACCGGGCAGTGTTTCATTGTGTTGTATATAGGGTTGCTGTGAGTCAGAGCTGACTCCAGGACACCTAACAACAACAATAGCAACAAGTATTTGACTTAAAAATGTACTCTACTTTCCTCTCCAGCTACTTCTTTATTTTGTTCTTCCCTCTAAAAACTTAAATTTCCATTTCTTCATCTCCTCACAACCTGCTAAGTCAGGCTTCCTCTTCTACCTGCTCTACAGTAACAACTCTTATCCAAGACATTCATATCGACGAATCTTAATAAACCTATTTCAGTCTTCATATGATGTTCCTCTCAGTAACATTCAGTACTGTGGACATCTCCATCCTTTCCTTGAAACACTTTCTTCTATAACATAACAATCTTTAGGCATTCCTCATTTCTCTCTGGCCACTCCTTAGTTTCCTTTGCCAGCCCATTCTCTCTTACCTCAAATTTTACCAGGTGATAAATGAACATTTTGAGCTTTTACATAATAGTACTGTCTAACAAATAATAGTTTAGATTTGACACATCATCATTTTGGTAATCTAGAAATATTTTTGTAATTGAATTTTTTAATATCTTCCTTTATTATTTTATTGAAATTAGTGAAAAATGTAAAAATGAAAGTGTTGGGACATTAATAACACTTAATAAGTAAGAAGTATAGGACTCATGGTTTAATGGAGACAGATAAAAAAAAATTATTTGGTAAATGGGAAAACTCATAAGAATGTTCACAGTCCAACCATAGCCTCTACTAATCTGAGACCATAAGAACTAGCTGGTGCCAGGCTACTACTACTAACCTCTCTGATCAGGATCACAATAGAAGATCCTGAACAGAGTAGGAGGGAAAAAATTAAGAGGAAAATTCAAAATTATAAAAAAGATCAGACTTACTTAGTCTGATCAAGACTGGTGGAACCACTGAGACTACGATCCTTAGATTCCTTCAGGCTTGGAGGATAGAGAAAGAATATTCACAGTCCAAATGTGTTCAACTGTGACATAAAAGAATTATTAAAGATCTATCTAAAATGCTGAAAACATATCGTCAAAGATGAAGTCTAGGAGCCATGGTTTAATTGGAGAAATTATAATAATTTTTAGCTTTCTGGCAATAGACTCTCTCTTTCTATTATATTTCAGTCAATTATTAGCATTCATATATTTAGCTTTGATTAATGTTTTCATAGCATTCATATATTTAGCTTTGATTAATGTTTTCATCAAAGTAGAGACAAACTCACCTTCTCATACTATGCTCAGTTTTCGGTGTCACAAAGAATCCCCTGGAGAATTGTTAAGGTGATATAGTTCCAGCCCCCACAACTCAAGATTCTGATTCTCTAATTTTGAAGTAGATTTAGATATTTTTCCCTTTAATATATAACCCAGGTGATAGTTTTCAAGTATGTCGCTGCAGAGCAACATTGGGGTCATGGTTAATAAGAGAAGGTCTAAGATGATGGAGTTGAGTGGATACCTGAGGAAGACAAGAAGGAAGGAAAAATCAAAACTCCTTGAAGAAAGGAATTTTGCTTCATAGTCTAGATTTTAGGATTGTATGTAGAACTGCAGGCACTTGGCATTACAGTAAGTCTCAGTCACAGTAGGCTTATTTTTGGTGAATTTTTGTCAATACTAAAATATCACTGTTTTCTGTTAGGGCATGAATGAAAGGTATGGAGAAAAATATGTTTTTAACCTTGTTAAGGATATTATATAAGTTAATGTTGCAGGCTAATTGAAAATGTGAAACAATTTTCATGACTCTTATTATATAAGTTTTCCTGTAAGTGTGTAAAAGTGTGTAATATTCACTGTCTTTCAAATCTTCTCTGTAGGCATTACGATTCAAAATATTGGTCAAAAACAAGAAAATAGGAACCTTAAAGGAAACCCGTGAGAGGAGAGGTTCTGATAAGCATGGCCAGGTAGAGGAATTTGAAGAAGATGTTGATCAAGATGATGAGGAAGATGCAACATCTGATGATGTTTTATTAAAAGACTATCAAGAAAAGGAAATAGAGGCCAAAAAGAAAAAGCAAGAAAAGGAAGCAGAATCAGGTCGATTACTACTTTTCAAAAAAAAGGTGAAATATTGCTTTGTGAAAATCTTACAAGTGATTGAAAATATTCTAATTTTCTTCTTATTGTTGGAGAATTAAAATTTTTTGAGGGAATTTTTTTCCCCTTATGACAGCTGTAGTCAATTATTTAAAATTCACTTTGAAAAAACTAGCATTACAGAAGATATTTTAAAAGTTATCCCTTTCCCATGTTAGTTGCTTTTTAAATTTTTAACTTTATAGTAAGCAAATAATATATCCTCTTATGTACTAGGCATTGTGCAGTATACAAAAGATATAGAAGAAAACCATAATGTGTCTACCCTCAAGATCATACTGGGAGAGATTTACAAGGAAATCCATGTTTATAAAATATAAAATTATTGTTATTGTTAGAAGCCATTGAGTAGGCCCTGACTCATAGTGATTTTATGTATAACAGAACATAACATACTAATATATAGTATTATGGGTATAAAATCACAGTGACAAAAGAAGGTGCATTAGGTTTCACATGACACAAAACCAATCCAGCTGGTTTAAGTAAACTGGGAATTATTTGACCCACATGAAAGAAAAGTTGAAGGAAAGGGATTCTATTTCAGGTATGACTGACTCAGTGTAGTATCTCATGCAAAGTCACTAGAACTTTCTCTAGCTTATGGTCCCACTTTCTTTGTACTGGTGACAAGATTGTTTCAAAAGCTTCAGTTGTATATCCTTTCATGTTAAAACCCAGTAGAATGCCATCAGACTTAACACGTTTTTATTGTACATTGGCTATCAATCAGTATGTGCACATTTCTGCAACAATTACTGTTGCTGGGGGAATACAAAGCTTTGATTAGCTAGGTTCAATCTGCAGGATCCATCCCTAAGCATGTGGACTGAATATAAACAAGAAGTAATTCCCTAAAACAAAATTTGGGAAGTGGTTAAAAAGTGTGTAGATTTGCTGGGCTGCAAAAGAGCAGATGTCTACAATATAAAAGAAACTATTCCAAAATATTACATAAGAATGGAAATATACTTACTCATGACTAAAATTCTTATATTTGTGTAATTCAAAAGGATAAACTGTGATCTTTTGGAAAAAGGAAATAGCAATAATTGCCATCTTCAATTCTTAAAATGTTACTTTTAGATTTAGACTCTCTCATATTAACATCAAATATTATACTCATACAAAACAATTACAATGAGTATGTGAACCCCAGCCTCCATGACCCTGAGACCAGAAGAACTAGATACTACCTCTCTACCACTGCTGACCACTCTGAAAGGGATCATAATAAGAGGCCCTGGATAGAGTGGGAGAAAAATGTGGGAAAAACTAAAAAAAAAAAAAAAAGAATAGGCTTGCTTGTCTAAGATACACTGGTGAAACCCCTAACACTATGCCTTTTAGATATCGTTAAGGCCTGGGACTGAATGTACCCCCCTGAAGCTCAAATTTTAGCCAAATTACAGATAGGCCTATAAGGTGAACAATAACACCAGAGAGGTATGCATTCATTAGAATGATCAACCACATGAGATCAAAAGTACACTATTTGCCCAGGGATAGAGCTCAGAAGGCAGGAAGGGATAGGAAAGAAAGATGAAGGTAAACACAGGGAAGAAGTGAGAAGACTGCTATTACCTTATGGGGACTACAGAAAATGTTACAAAACAAAATATGTATGAATTGTTGAATGGAAAACCAAATTGCTCTGTAAACTTTCACCCAAATGATAGTTTAAAAAAAAAAAAAAAAGAATAAAAAATCACAATGAATTGATCCAAATAGTTTTGAGGGGATAATTTTATGAAAAGACTAAACACATTGCCTTGAAAACATAGTTTCTTTATTGGAATTTTTTTTTTCAAGTGATTAGTGCCAAAATATGAAATTACTGTACTATATTTTTAGACCTCGAAGATGAAAATAGCTCTGGCTCTATCAGATCTTGTCATTTATACTAAAGCTGAGAAGTTCAAAAGCTTTGAACACGCAAGAATGTATCAGCAATTTAATGAAAATAATTCTATTGGGGAGACAGAAGCCCGAAAACTTTCAAAGCTGAGAGGTAAATTCTTATGATTCAAATAGATGACATTTTTAAACAAGTTATATTCACTACTAGGGTGTTAAGATTGTTCATTGATATTTATCTCATACATTTTAAATATATTTGACATAATTTTTAAAGGGCTTATATGCCTCAGGTTATATTAAGTTTTAGTTCAAAGAACTTAGCCATTAGTTAATTTCTTTAAGCCATGAAGTTTTGATTGAGGATGCAGTGTGAAGACTTTGTTGGAATTGTGGTGAGTGGGACAGCAGTCAAAGACCAGACTCTAGGGGTAGGAAGAGCCAAAACAAAAAGAAACCAGCTATTGAGTGATTCTGACTCATGGTGATGCCATGTGTACCATAAGAGAACTGTGCTCCATAGGGTTTTCAGTGGCTGATTTATCAGGAGTATGTAGGCAGGTCTTTCTTCTGAGGACCCTCTGGGTGGACTTGAACCTTTGATTGTTTCATTAGCTGTGAATTAGTTAACAGTTTGTACCACATAACACCTAAAATTGAGATTGCAAGAATTGAGATAACAAAGTTTTGTGGTAGTGACTGTAAAGACATGGTAAACTTTATGGATTCATCAGGCCTCCAAAGAGGTAGGGTTAGTTAGTCTTATTGTTATGTGCTGTTGAATCGATTCTGACCCATAGAGACCCCTGTGACAGAGTAAAGCTGCCTTATAGGGTTTTCTAAGGATCTCTGGTGGTGCAGTGACTAAGTGCTTGGCTGCTAACTGGAAGGTCAGGTTCTAACCCAGAAGCCACTCTTTGCAAGAAAGAAGTGACAGTCTGCTTCTATAAAGATTATGCCCTTGGAAGTCCTTTGGGACAGTTCTAGTCTGTCCTATAAGGTTGCTATGAGTTGGAGTGACTCTACGGCAACAGGTTTGTTTTCTGTGTTTTTTTTTTTTTTTTTTTACTCTTTATGGGAGCAGAGTGACAGGTCTTTCTCCTACAGAGCCACTTAGTTGTTTGAACTGCCAACTTTTCTGTTACCAACAAAGTGTTTAACTTCTGCATCATCTAAGAATCTCAACGAAGCCCATATAGTATAGACCCCAAAAGAAAGTCATCAAAATATATCATAATCAGACTTTCCAAAATCAAAGACAAAGAATCTCCAGAGCAGCTCAGGAAAAAAATGAAATATTACCCACAAAGGACAGCAAATAAAACTAAGCTCTGATTTCTCAGCAGACACCATGCACATAAGAAGGCAATAAGATGACATACATAAAACCATGAAAGGAAAAAAAAAAAAATAATAACACCCAAGAATTATATATCCAGTAAAACTGTCCTTCAAATATGATAGTGAAATGAGGACATTTCCAAATGAACAGAAATTGAAGAAATTTGTGAAAACAAGACCAATTTTACAAGAAATGCTAAAGGGATTCCTTCAGACAAAAAACCAACCACAGAAGACAACAATCTAAGATTAATATCCATTAACCAACACAGAAAAAGAATTCTCAAAATTAAAATAAGCTTTCAAGACTGCAATTGAGAACCAGAGTGTCAATCTATAAACAACAACTACAAAGCAAATAGAGGAAATAAATGGTATAATTACAGAAGTTCCAAATGGAAAGGAAGTCAGGAAGATATTAATATAGAACAGATTGTTCCAAACTTAACAACAACAAACTCATTGTCACTGAATCAATTCTGATTCATAGCCATTGAGTTTCCAAGACTGTAAATCTTTACAGAAGCAGACCACCCCATCATTCTTCCACAGAGCAGCTGGTGGGTTTCAACAACCAAGTTTTATTTAGCAGCCAAATGCTATCACCACTACATCACCAGAGCTCCTTGTTCCAAACTTAGGAAGATAAAAATTTACTACAGGGTAAGCACAAGAAAATTAATAAGCTTTCTAACCAAAATAAGAAAAAAGAAAATCACGAGGACTAGCAAACACAACATCAACAATAATGAGATAAAGGAAAAGAAAATATGAAAACCAAATGAACTCAGCACAGAAAAATATTGGGATAAAGAAACTATTAATTAAAAAAAACAAAAGAATTACAGCACTCAATTCATACTTATCAGTAATTACACTGAATGTGAATAGATTAAATATACCAGTCAAAAGAAAGAGTAGCAGAATGGATAAGAAAAGAAGACCCATCAATATGCTGCCTACAAGATACTCACCTTAGACACAAAGATAAAAATAAATGAAAAATCAAAGAAGGGAAAAAATATATCAAGCAAATGACAACCAAAAAAGAGCAAGGACAGCAATATTAATTTCTGATAAAATAGACTTCAGTGTGAGAACCAGCAAAGGGGAAAGGCATTATAGGATGATAAAAGGGTCAATTGACCAAGAAGACATAACCATAACTATGCACCCAATTAAAGAGCTCCAAAATGCATAAAGCAAGCTTTATCTGTATTCAAAGGAGAAAAGACAATTTTACAATAGTAGTAGGGGACTTTGGAGTTGGAAAGCCAAAACTGAAGAACATGCTCAGCATTTCTCAAGCTGAAAGAACTGAAGAGGAAATTTAACCCTCAAGTTACAATCTTGAAAGATTCTATGGGCAATATATTGAATGATGCAGGAAACATCAAAAGAAGATGGAAGAAATACACAAAGCACTGTACCAAAAAGAACTGGTTGATGTTCATTCATTTCAGGAGGTGACATATGATCAAGAACCAATAGTATTGAAGGAAGAAGTTGAAGCTGCACTGAGGGAAGTGGTGACAAACAAGACTCTAAGAATTGACGGAATATCTATTTAGATGTTTCAACAAAAGGATGCCCCACTAGAGGCCCTCTCTTGGCTATGCCAGGAGATTTGGAAGACAACTACCTAGACAACTGACTGGAAAAGATCCATATTTGTACCCAAATTGAATCAGTGACAATGAGTTTGTGGTGTTAAGTTTGGATCAATCTGTTCTATATTAATATCTTCCTGACTTCCTTTCCATTTGGAACTTCTATAATTATACCAGAAAGGTGAACTATATGAAGAAGAACATGGCATCAGGATTGGAGAAAGGCTCATTAACAACCTGTGTTATGTAGAATGTGGCAACTATTGAACAATATCATTAATGTCTCACGTGCACTATGCCACCAGAGCTCCTAAGTAAAATCTTACTGAAGATTATTCAAAAATGGTTACAACACTATTCTAACAGAGAATTTCCAGAAATGCAAGCTAGATTCAGAAGAGAACATGGAACAAGGGAGATCATTGTTGATGTCAGATGGACCTTGGCTCAAAGCAAAGAATACCAGAAAGATGTTTACTTGTGTTTGATTTACTATGCAAAGGCATTTGATTGTGTGTATCATAACAAATTATGGATAACACTTAGAAAAATGGGAATTCCAGATTGCTTAACTGTGTTCATGAGGAACTTGCACATAGACGAGGAGGCTGTCATTCTAACAGAACAAGGGGACACTGCATGGATTAAAATCAAGAAGGGAGTGCATTAGGGTTTTATCCTTTCACCATACTTATTCAATCTGTATGCTGAACAAATATCTGAGAAGCTGGACTATATGAAGAAGAACATGGCATCAGGATTGGAGAAAGGCTCATTAACAACCTGCGTTATGTAGATGACAACTTTGGTCGCTGAAAGCGAGGATGACTTGAAACATTTACTCATGAAGATTGAATGCTACAGTCTGCAGTATAGATTACACCCCAATATAAAGAAAACAAAAATGTTCACAATGGGACCAATAAGCAGCATCATGATAAATGGAGAAAAGATTGAAGTTATCAAAGACATCATATTACTTGCTTCTACAATCAACATCAATGGAAGCAACAGTCAAGATAATCAGATGTCATGTAGCATTGGACAAGTCAACTGCGAAGGAACTGTTTCAAGTGCTGAGGAGCAAAGATGTCTCGTTGAGGACTAAGTTGCAACCTGACACAAGCCATGATATTTTCAACCACCTCATGTGCATGTGAGAACTGGACACTGAAAAAGGAAGACCGAAGAAGAGTTGATGTTTTTGAGTTGTGGTGCTGGCGGAGAATGCTGAAGGTACCATGGACTGCTCAAAGAACTAACAAATCTGTCCTGGAGGAAGTGCAACCAATATGTTCCTTGGAAGCAAGAATGGCCAGACTTTGTCTCACTTACTTTGGTCATGTTGTCAGAAGGGACCATTCCCTGGAGAAGGATATCATGCTTGGGAAAGTGGAGGGACAATGAAAAGGGCAAAGACCCTCAACAAGATGGATTGACACAGTGGCTGCAACGATAGTGTCAAATATAGCAAAGACTGTGGGGCTGGCACAAGGCTGGGCAGTGTTTTATTCTGCTGTACATGAGGTTGCTATGAGTCAGAGACATCTCAATGGCACCTAACAACAGTAATAGGAGACTTTAACACACCAATTTTGATGAAGGACAGAACAACTGGATAGAAACTCAACAAAGACACAGAATATCTCAACAACATAAGCAACCAACTTAACCTTATAAACATACAGAACACTCCACCTAATGAAAAGGCAATACACATTCTTTTCCAGTGCACATGGATCATTGTCCAGAATAGACCATATGTTAGTCCAGAAAATAAGCCCCAATAAATTTAAAAACTTTGAAATACTATAAAGTATCTTCTGAGATCATGTCATAAAATTAGAAATCAGTAATAGAAAGACCAGGGTGTGGAGGGGTCAAATACATTGAAACTGAATAAAACACTGCTCAAGAACTACTAGGTAACAGAAGAAATAAATTGTGAAATAAAAACATTCCTAGAAACAAATGAAAATGAAACTACGATGTATCAAAACATTTGGAACATAGGGAAACGAGTACTCGGAGGTCAATTTACAAGCAATAAATGCACCCTTCAAACAAGAAGAAAGATCCAAAGTCAATGGCTTAATCCAACATACCTAAAAGTTAGAAAAAAACAACAAAAGAAGCCTATGGTTTCTAGAAGAAAGGAATTAATAAAAATCAGAGCAGAAATAAAGCAGAAAACAACAGAAAA